TCTTATTTTTATTCAATGATCTTCAAGAATTTCTTGTTTTATTCCATGCTTTTCAGAATAAAATTGGTTAGGTCTTTCAACAAACGAATATGTTATTCAATGTTCTTCAATAGTTTCTTATTTTCTGTATACTCTGTTGTCAATTTCGATACACACTAATTGATTGACACGTTATCAAACTTTGTCGTATACAGCAACAAGTAGGCATTCCTAATCTGGCGACAGACGAAGACAAGAATCAATAGTGCTCATCCTAACTCAATGATGAATCAAATATTTGGCGGTAACTCTGGATAGGCTCCTTTATTTTAAAATCTATATTAAGAATGGCTAATTCTTTGAGCGTCAAGATCCAACAAAGGTCCAACATTTTTTATTAGTCTCTCGTGCTCCAAAATTGCATTAGGAAGTTACAGTAGACCTTTCACAAGCAAGATTCAATAAGGATAATGCTCGGGATAAATTTCACTTTCCAAAAAATTCAGGATTATATCGTCATGCACCAAGAGGTAATTTACACTCATAACTAATCTTCCTGTTGGCATATTTACACTCCTCAGTACGTGTTCGTACCATATCAGTTCCGCATAACGTTAGTATCAGTAGGAGGTATTCTAGAGGTAAATACCATAGACAATATAATTATGTATACATTTGTGCAAAGTCCATCCGTTAATTGGTCACAGTGCTGCACAACCTCATTTTTTATGTCTTTGAGGCAATAATAAAGTTGATATGAACTGACCCTAGCCAATATAAAACAATAATTATTCTTGTTTAAGATAGATCCTTTACTTGCCACGGTGCATTGCCCTGTGCCGTGATCTCGGACCATCATACTATTAAATCTATTTTTAACTTCCGCGTCAAACGGATTTATGCTGGTAAATGCAAAAATGATCCGCCGTTTTTCCCATCAAAAGTAATTGATCACCATCGGCTGCCCAACGTAGATCAGTTCATGGATTTGTTCCCTTTCTTTTCTGAACCCTTCCGCATTAGTGTAAATAATCAATGGCTAATCGATCGGATAATATGAATATTATCAGAGTTGTTAGAGAGATCGACAGCGATAAAATTTTGTTGATATACTTCGGCAATTACATATTCATTTTATTTTATTTGAATCAAGAATGACTGGGATTGCAATTGCACATTCTCGTCAAAAACTGGTAATTCTCTTGCCTAGTCCATCGTTTTCATGATCATTCCTAATGCCAGAAACTGATCAAGAAATATTAAACTTTCAACTTTTCATCGCATAGAAAACCTCCTATTGAAGTGTTAATAGGTCCATTTTTGAAACGGTTTACCAATTTCATATTTAAATGATAGATAGGTACCTACCTATATCCTTGGTATATCCAATAATAATATTACCTCACATGTTTTCTGAGAAAAAAAAAAGTAAAATATATGTGTGTTTCTCAAAGAAGCTGTTGCTCTAATTTATGTCCTATTTTAATGATCTTCATTTAAATTTAGAAAAAACTAACATTCAGGGCTTTTCGCAGATGATGCTTTGATTTATGTTAAATTAAAAATCTTTCAGATGCAATAAAAACTGTAAATTCGCAATTAAAACTTGTTCTTAATTGGCTTGAATTATTTATGAATAACCCCAGAAAAAAAACCTTATGCTTAGTAATTGGAAATGGTATAAATTACCTACACAATATATTACATATATATAATTTTGATTATACCCCAAATTGGACATAATCGATTTATTTATATATTTGAGGTCGATGATTAGTTGAGACAAAATTTCAATGATATAAAAAAAGTACAAACAAACTGCCAACCTAGGTTATATTTTTTTTCTCTTTCTCAGGACTGTCCGACTTATTGTCCTCATGTAGCACTGAAGCCTGAGAAGGCTTATTGTGCTTAGCCTGTTTGCTTTATTCCAACCACTCTAGTATTTTGGTGTACAAGGTTGTACACTTTACAGGTCTTTTACTGGGTGGTGTTTCATTATTGTTTCCGGAACTACGTTTGTTGCGGTGAACTGTCAAGATGGGTTTGATCATCAGGCTGTACGTCCATCAGTACAGCATGTGCCGCATCATTTTCCATGCAGACGTATAGCTATCATGAGCGATGCTATCGCTTTTTTGGTGGAGTGTTACGAAATCTGTATGTTTTCCCTCTTTAGTCTAAGTCAGTGGTTCCCAAAGTGGGCGATAACGCCCCCCAGTGGGCGCTGCAACCATCTCGGGGGGCGGTAAAGAGCTCAGCTGATTTTGGGGGGCGGTAATCACAAATTAGTGGGCGGTGGAAAATAAACGAACAGATCAGAACAAAAAAGGCTAACTTGACGCTCAGCCTCCCAACATTTTAGAAATAAGATGAAAAAAAAATGGATTCTTATGCAATCTGAAGTGTGCTGAACTGTGCTGTATCAGGTTTTTCTTAAAATTTCCATATTCGGTCATTTTCTGACAAAATCCTACTGAGGAGGTAACTTGACGCTCAGCCCCTTGCCAAGAAAACGCACGTCCGTGAAATTTTTTTTAAAAAAGTCGCTGCTTCAATATCTTGGATCCCTGCCAAGGGCTGGATAATTCCCATTTTTTCAAAGTGGGCGGTAGGTTAAAAAAGTTTGGGAACCAATGGTCTAAGTGGTCCCAGGTCTTGTATTTCGCGCCTTCGGGTAAATGCCACAATGGTGGATTTGTTGGAACTGATATTTAAGCCTTCTCGATCCACCCATCAATTTACCCCTTGAGATGATAACTATGTCGTCAGCATATCTGAGGCCACGCTCTCCTCCGTCCGTGAGCACCTTAAGCAGACCGTGCGCCACTAGATTTCACAGGAGCGGGGATAATACCCCATCCTGTGAGCATCCCCTGTACACTTGGGCCGCCAGTGTCTCCTGTGCGACGGTGGTTTCTACCATTCTTTCTCTTAGCATGGAGTTGATCCACACACAGCAGGTGTTCTCAACTCCTTTATGCTTGAGAGATCTGGTTATTGAGTCGAAGGAAGAGTTGTCAAAAGCTCCCTCTATGTGCAAAAAGGAGCCCAGCATCACCTCCCTGTTTTCCAATGTGGTCTCCACTATATACTGACCAGCTGATGATGCGCTATTTCTGTTGACATGCCTGTCCGATATGCATACACTGGTCTGGGTGTAGTGGTCGGCTTGCCAACACACCATCCCCAATGTAACTATCCACAAGTTTTTCCAGTGTCTTTAGCTCGAATGATATAATGACTTAGGGGCTTTGCCGTGTCCGGTTCTATTTTTTCAGGCTTTGGTATGAAGGTTACCCTAATGTGTTTCCAAGTCTTTGGTATATAGCCAAAGGCTAGGCTACTTTTTAGAATGTTGAGATATTAGCCAGTCGTTCCTGGACGCTCTTCGAAGCCTAGGCTCATTCCATGTCCATTGAGTTTGATCAACTATCTTTGAGCCGGGAAAGTAGGTTCTTAGGAGTTCCCTAGCCGTCTCTTCCCCGAAACTGGTGTATTCACCAAGGTCGTTCATGGATGAACTGATTGTTGTCTTCGGGCCCCTTGAGAGAGTTTTTTTCGTTATTTTATTAGAAGCATTATTCCGGAGTCCGGAGTTTGTGAAAATGTGAATGACGATATTATGCCTAACATTTCCGGATAATTTGTTATTGGAAATTATATAAAACATTTTGAAATAACTCAATCACAAATGCAATCCTGCAAAAAAGTCAAATAACAAAGATTTCCTGTCTTGACAGCCCTTGCTTCTTCTGTGAGTATGTTGTTTTGGGTTGAATGGATAATAATTTATTCGAAATTGCTGTGCTGATGATTTTATAAATCGTAGGTAGGTAGGTTATGGATCTGAAGTTCGCTGGGTCATCTGTTTTCTCGCTTTAAGGTTTACTAACGGTTCTGTAGTCTGTTATAAATTTTGGTAAGAGGCGTGCGCTCTCCACCATTCTGTTAATCTCTCTAGTTAGCTTTTTATGCGTTTTTATTATGGTAAATAGGTACATAATTTAATTCCAGCATATATAATTGAATTTTCAATTGCCTATTCATTAAACCAACATATGCATGTTACTGATTTTACTATTTTAGCTTCAAAAATACATTTTATACAATTGCAACATTCTAACCAGGCTGTATGGTTGTAAGGCTTTTGAACATCCAAATTAGGTCAAATTTTTGACAACAACCTCCAAAATTGCTGTATCTAATTGCGATCCATGCGATATTGAGGTTTTTTCGAAGTGTTTGTCGTCCTCGACTAACATGGTAATCTTTTATCTGTCAAAATTGCCAATCGTAAATACAAATGTGGATAAAAGAATATGTTTGAAGATCTGCTCTGAAGGATTATCTCTGAAATAACTGCCAAAAACGTCAATTGTTATATCACAAGAGGTGAATATAAAGCACTAAAAATGACAAATATTTTTCTCAAATTTGATCCTCTTCGAGGATTCTTCTACAGATACTTGTTTGTGGTAACTTTCTTAATTCAATCGTGAAATAGGCTATAGAATTTTTTTGAGGGTAGACACCAGAACCATACCTTTAATTTAGCAGAACGCGTTTCGAAATACACGACGCATTATGTAGCGTAACCGAATAGGATTGAATCTGGTCTGGTAACTGATATTATTTAATACATTCTTGACGTTTATTCAGGGCACAATTAGGAAACAATTATTTTGCAATAACTCATTTGGCTCTAACACGTTATGGCCGCTCACTTTCTAACATGTCATCTGATATTATGCCCGCGTACACACACACACAACACACAAAATTAATTTTTGTTCAATGAGCTACTAGGCTGGACAATATGCTTTTTACATTGATAGTTATTTCGCAAGAACTGTGATTAATCTTGTTCAGTGGATTTTAAATGGTCAGATTGTTTATTGTTCGAGTCGATAGGTTATTATTTTATTTGACTGGCTTATTATATGAAATTTGATTTATTGCTTCTTGAGAAGCTGTATACAAAAGGTTATTTATATTTACGTCTTTATTTTTCTTTTCAGCGAATTCGACAAACTCAACAAAGATGACATTTATGGGAACAACGAACTCGCGTTCAGGATAGCCGAGGAAAAATTGGGCATCCCTGCTTTACTGGAACCTGAAGACATGGTCGAATACGAAGTACCAGATCGTCTATCAATTCTAACGTATCTCTCCCAGTTTTACCAGACATTTGAGAATCAAAGAGGTAAAAATAAACGTTTATCTTTTAAGACCCGATACACTACCGTAATACACAAGCTGTCTCAGAAATTTTGTACTTCCATTTTATCTAAAGCTATAGATTCAGTTAATTGTGTGCTTTTTTGCAACGTTGCTCGGCTTGCTTTTCACAAGGTCAATGAATGAATACCTATTTAATCATCGAGTCCTTGAAGAGGAGAAATTTGAAGAAAGGGGCTTACATTTTTCCCCTCCTGGACACCCGTGTTCGCACTTTTTAAAACATTAATTGTGTTCTTGATGCAATAACAAAAAAAGTCAACGATCAGTGCAAAAACGAGCTTCGGCTTATTGCATAAGGCCTGAAATATACCTTTTCAAAGTCGCAAAAATTGAACTGATACGATGTTTGCTATTCGGATTCGTGGATAAGAGAGACTATGCTATTCAGTCTAAAACAATAACATAGAAATCACTATCAATTGTGCTTCTCGACCATTCCGTTGGACTCTGGATGCAGAAGAGTCGTTCTGGTTCTTATTAACAGTATCCTCATCCGCTGTTTCCACTCCATACTTAAAATTTCTCACCTAATCGGCATGAAACTCCAGTTATACTCCATGTCTGGTTATGATGCTTTTCAATACTTCTGGTCTTTTTGGAAAATAGCCCATAGTAACCATGAGGTACTTATGTGCCGACTCTGTTTTAGGAAAAGCAGGTCGATATCTTCCTCAATTCTTTTTCAGAACGAACAAGACAAGTACCTACTATTTCATTTCTTTCCGAAATCTTATCTTGGGTTATTGCTGGGAAGCACAGAGATCTCATCACTTAGGCCATTCTTCAACATTCCTAGGACAATACCTACCGTTTTCTTACTTGGGCCAATTGACTCCAAAGTGGCCACCACTCCAACTTTTGTACAGTTCACGAAGCTTTATACTCACCATGGTTCAAGGCACAACGGCCTTATGTAGTAAGCTTCTCCCATCTGGACTTAGTGTAAAGTGATTAAATCATCTCGCAAGCACAACCAAACCCATTGAAGTCAGTTATCACTTGAAAACGGCTGGTATTTCAAAAACTAAACTAAATTTTGAATAATAGACATGGCGGTTTAAAATCCTGCAAAATGGGTCAACTACACATCTCTTAAGAAGTGTTCTGAATTGCCATTAACTTGGTATAATTAAGTGAGCCAATTAAACCCCTCAAGCCACGACCTCTGTTTTCACATGACAATTACGAAACAAAAACAAACAAATATCTCACTGAAATCTGAAAACAACCGCTATAATAACTGTGTTGGGCCACGTAAATACACAGGAAACAGGTCGGTACCGGAAACACATAGGAACAAATTAAATACTTATTATGCAGAGCAAAAACAGTATGTGAAAGTCAACTTCTTGTGGTTTATAATAACACAATTAGGGCCAATTCAGGTTAACGGTAGCTAAACGAGATGATGCCCTACAAGGAAAAATTTAAATTTAACATAGTGAATTCTAAAGGAGGGATGGTAAGCTTATTTCAAGTTAACTATTTAGAAGGAAATTAAATTATCGTCTTTACCGTAAGTAAAATATAAATAAGAGAAATTTAAGAGAAAAACAGTAGTAAACGTTTATAGCACCTGTTTGTGGGTAACTATCATATATTTAATAAAGCAAAGGAGAATGACAGTAGTTTCCAGTTGTCGACACTTTCACTATTTTGATGTTGCTCAATAAAAATCAATAAAACAGGATTTTCAAAGTTTGATGAAAGGGCAAAAAAAAACAACTTTTACCAATAAAATCTTACATTTCAAATAGGTAGTTTATATAACTTTTTCTACGGATTTGTTTATTTATTTATTTATTTCGCCATCACTACAGTTTTTGTCGTTGAGGGTCACCTTGGAGAACTTGAGAGCATCCGCGATTTTCGTGTTTTGTTTCTAATTTGTCAATCAGAAATCACAATGAAGGAAATTCTCAACGAAGTCAAGAACCCAAATGTATGACCAAAGACTTACTGTTTTGCAGGGCGAGGTTAATAATATAGAGCACGAGGAAAGCGAAAAAAAAAAGGTAGTCCTAAGGATACGTGGGCAAGAAGAAGAGACTGCGCAGTCTGTTAATAAATTGTTAAGAGGCCTGAAAATGTAATCTGCGGACAAGGAGAGCTAGAAGAAAAGTATAGGTTAACATCGATGGAAGATGCACCCATCATGAATAAAACAACATGACTATGCCTTCACTATTCCTGATAAAATCGTGAACCCCCTGGAGATCCTGCAGCTATAACGAATTATCTAATTTTTTGGAAAAGAGTATTTTTGGAAAAGGCTTAAACAATCACATAATTATTGGAGACTTCAATATTAACTTATTAAATAATACCGATAAAGAAGCTATGGATCACAAAAATATCTTTGTGCGAAAAAGATGCTGAGTTTGAGGTAAATATTCGTTGTAGGGAAAAACAAAGGTGGATGACCAAAGATCTATTGGAGTTAATGAGGGAGGGCGATAAAGTCTATAAGACAATGAAGACAACAATAGAAAAAATTCAGAGATTATAACAGATTTATTAAATATCTATATAAACTACCAAGACTTTATCCAACAAAGGAACTTTATGAAAATACTAAATATCTTAAGATCGAGAATATAATAAAGCTAGAGGAGTGCAAACTTATGCAGAAAATCAACTATCACCAAATTAAAAACAATATAAAACTAGTGAAAAATTCTGAAAGTGATATGTGGTCAACTCCAGAACAAACATAGGAATGTGCAGTGTAATAAATCTTGCATCTGAAACTTACAACTCTATCCCAAATGACATTAAAAGTGAAAGACATATTTTAAAATTCTCAAAAAAACTGAAAAATTATCTATACACTCAACAAACCTCGTAATTTTCATTTATAAGAAAGAAGAAATAGATAGACTATATATATACAGGGTCCCAACTATTTTATAGGGACAGTATTGCTATCTCCGGAACGGTTAAAGTTACGAGGGCGTTTAAATTAGAAAAAATTTGCCATTTTTGAAGAATAATAAAAATATATTTTCGTTGTTGCCAAATTTCTATTAGTTTCGCAAATACAGGGTGATTTTTGAAAATTTGTATACTGGTACATGTTTTGATTGTTATTACTATTTGTTTTTTCAATGTATTATTGATTATAGAATTCGGTACCAGTACCGCTCTAGGTGTACTGATTTAGAAATCAGAAATAATTGTATTTGAAAAGAGGGCAATAATATTTTATTACGCAATGAATTTAAAATTTTAAAAAATCGAATTACAAACATAATAAAATTCTTAAAAAATTTGCACTTCAGAAAAAGGTGGCATGAGGCTGGCAGTGATGCAAAAAGGCATTAGAGAGTAATTGATAAATTTGGTATATAATAGGCAAGAAACGACAATAATCGAATCTTTAACAGTTAATGATGAAATAATTGACAACCCTGTGGATATGGTCAATACTATTAATACGCATTTTTCAAATGTAGGTAAACATATTGTTGAAGTAAATGATGAAATAAATAATTTGCCACCAGAGGTTCGAAACACTGCTCTGTAGTTTGAAGAAGTTTATTGTCCGAATAGCTTATATTTAGATTTGACGACTAAGCAGGAAGTTTGCGAAGTTATTAATGACCTAAAACGTAACTCTGCCCCGGGACACAACCAAATATCAGTACGCGACGTACTTAATTTGGGAGATTCATTTTGTAATATCTTGATTGATCTAATAAACAATGTTTTTAGCACGGGCGTCTTCCCAAAAGAATTAAAAATAAGCAGAATCAACGCGATATTTCTGGAAACAGGGAGGATATGGGTAATTATCGACCCATAAGTTTATAAGCACTTTATCTGAAATTATTGAGAAATTAATAAAAAAAGAATGCTTGGTTTTATGGACAAATACATCCCAGCTGATAAATACCAGTATGGTTTTGTAAAAAATAGTAACACACTTAGTGCGACCATGGACATTGTAAATAAGATATCAACGGATCTAGATAATAAAAAGGTAGTAGTTGCGGTTTTTGAAGGCCTTTGATGTTGTTTGTATAGACGTTTTGTTGAGGAAATTAGATAATATGAGTTTTAGTGGACTTGTACATACATTATTTAGAACTTATTTAACGGATAGGGTGCAATATGTTAAAATGGAAAACAGTATTAGTAGCTACAAAACTAATGCATGCGGGGTGCCTCAGGGGTCTGTCCTAGGACCTCTGCTGTATTCACTTTATGTACTTAGTCTAAATTTGGTTGGTCTAGCAGCACGTTACTACACGTTTGCAGATGATACGATACTATTGTACAGTGGTGCAAATAATGAAGAACTTGAGCGTTGTATAAATTCTGACTTGGAGCAATATGCCAATTGGTTGCTATTTAATAAACTGAAAATAAATATAAGAAATTTATGATATTTAGGCAAAAAAATAAGTTAACTAGAATAACGGTTGAATTAAAGAATGAAGTTATGGAAAGGGTTACTGTAATGAAATATTTGGGCTTATACTTAAGTGAAAATCTTAATAGCAATGAACACATCACTAAATATCTCCTAGTCCTAACTATTTGACATATAGAACTAAAATGCATATATAGGGTGGTCCAAAAAACACCGGAATTTTGTTTTTGAGCTGTAACTTTTTTATTTGTTGTACAATTGTTTTTTGTTTTGGCGAGAAATGAACGGGCTAACGAATCAGAGTAAAACTTTTGACATTTGAAAAAAATCCAAAATGGCAGACTCCTCCAAAAATTGCCTAGTTTTGGATAGCGCTGGAACTTTTTTGGGACAACCTGGATAAGTTTTTTTAATAAATTCTTAAAGTTCATCATTTTGCGAACGTTTTAAGACCTCGACAGAAAAAATCGGTGGAAAACTAAGTGAAATATTGAATTTTTTGTAATATCGAATTTCAATTTTTTATATTGACAGCAAAATCTAGGATATGCTATGTCAGCTAGAATTTTTTTTTTTTTTCTACTCGA